TCAATCAAACAGAGAGTTTAAAGAAGGTAAAACAAATAATTTTTTTTATCCATTAAACATAATTTTCAGCTATACAGAGTGTTTCCGAGCATTCGCACATCCATTCACGTACAGGTAGAACTCACTAAACTGAACTAAAAAGTGCTAGCATTTGCAAAGTATCACGTAAATAATTCATATTAAAGAGACAGTTTACTGTATTCATAAAATCCCGGAAACGCTCGACAATCGCATATTATAATTGCATATTTCACTTTTTACATCAGGATTTACATAATGCAATGTATTTGCGTCTATTTCCAACTTTTCTCCGACCTGCTCGATACCGAATATTTCCATTTGACTGAATGTATATGTTATATAGTTGTAATACGGCACTGTTCAATCACAGATTGTATTTTCAAAAATTAATGAAAAAGTATCACGTAAACTTTTGAGCTATTAATTATTGAAAATTGCCATGTTTAAAAATTTCTTCAATTAATAACTCAAAATTTTACGTAATAATTTACAAAATGATAGAGAACTTTTTTGTTTAATTAGTTTAATTAGTTTTACTTGCACATGAACGGACGTGCGGATGTTCGGAAACACCCTGTATATAACACACACACATTTTTACATACCCCGATAGAAATAGAATGTGTTTTATATTTTACAGGTGAACAGGAAAATACTGATCTTAACGTTTATGACAAAATGAAAGATGGAGAAAGTAATATTCACAAATTTTTTGTTAGATACAAAATTTTCATCTAATCAATTAAAATTATACACAAAATATTAATATTTTTTATTTTTTAGAAATATTGGCAAGATTTTTTGAAGAACAGTTAACGTGTTTGAAAAAAACAATTTACAAAAAAATTTCTAATTGCAAAAGAAGTCTCCACTATAATTTTAACAACAAGATTCGCGAATTAAAAGATATATATGGCAATACAAGAAAGAATTCAGTAGAAGAAAATTTTCAATGGAGAAAACTACTGGGAGCAGTACCATTCAAATCTGTCGATGAGTTTCAAAGTTTTGATCGAAAATTAAAAAAAAATGAGGAAAAGCAGCGGGCACTTGTAAATATTGAAAAAATGTACAATTGGAATTTTTATTGAGATAAATATTCTATTAATGTGTAATTAATTTTAGGACATATTTTTCAAAATTACTACTATGGGATGTCGCGGATATAAAGCGGATATTGCAGCGATTTTATCGGAAATTATTTAAAAAAACGTTCAGCTGCAATTTAGTGGTGCAGGTCGGATAGTGAAAGGAGTGTCGAAACTCAGTTTCAGTAAAACCACGACTTATACACGTTTATCTAGTAAGAAGATTTAAAATATATTATTTATACAGTAATTAATACAATAATATGTAACTTTCAGATTATATACAAGAAAAATATGTGGAGAGTGAGGAGAAAGTACAAATATTATCAGCCGTAAGTACTTTCCTATCAAGAGCTAGCGATAGGGAAGGCGGCCGAAAGCAACGAGGTTACAATTAATAATCTATATAAGTATATTATAACAATATATGTATATTAAATATTAAATAATCATTTGTAAAAGAGAAATGAGCCCTGGCAGTATTGTTTTTTTACTCTGAGCCAAGCTTGGCTTCATTGTTACCCAAGCCTTGGGCCAAGCCTGGCACCTCGAGCACCCCGAGCTTTGCCCGAGGTTATCATCCCAGGCTTCAACCAGGCTTGGACCAGCGTAGTTACCATGCTTGGCCCATACTTCCTCATCATTAAATCAAGCCTGGCTCGAGACTGGGCCATTTGTATATTCCTACCTGGGAAGTCCTCATGTGAATAAAAATATTCACTCTATACTACATAGAGTGAAAGGCGCAGACTGCAATTTCAAATTCAGCTACTCCAAAAACATAAGAATACATAACTGTAGTCTGCCTAATTGACAAAAAAAAAGGCGAATTCGAAAATCTTAGAAAGTCTAAGATAGAATTCTAAGATTTTCAAACTCGCTTTTTTGAAATTTACCGATAATTTAACACGTCTTCGTAAACGTAAGTGCTTCGTAAATACTTAATTGTCTTTTTACATACTTGTTCGGTATCGAATATATAAGAAAGTGACACTCGATAGAATTTACATGTGTATACGATTGAAAGATACATGCGATTTTTTCCTTTATTTAACGTTCAAATCTTAAAATGGAACAAGTGGCTCGTCAAAAATAATTCTTCTTTCGACAGACTTATCGTTTGTTGAGTAAAATTAAAGAAACTAGATACAATTGCGATACATTCGGCATAAATTAAACGTCAAATTAAACTTTGTTCTTTACTCTTCGTTCAACGATCGTCAAAATTGATTCATCTTTCGACTTGTTTCTTCGACAGACTATTGTCATTCCTTATTTCACAATTACAACCGATACTTGACGTACGTGGCCTAGTTTGCACCAACTCTGTCGATACGCGTATCAAATAGTATATTTGAGCGGACGAGTCGATAATCAAACTATTGCTTCCTCATAGAGGAAGCTTTGTTTTCGTGAATTTCATATATGAACCTTTATCTCTAAAGTAGAATCAGTGAAAATATCACTAATTGAAACAGTAAAATAGGATTTCACTGAGAATCAGTGAGTATTTCACTGAACTTCAGTAGAATGTTTACTTTTTGTTTCTTTATCTTATATTTCACTGATTATGGTCAGTGAAAGTAAGATGTTACTGTAAAATCAGTTATCTGTTGGTAATACTGATTGATGGTGCGAGGAAGCGGAACAGGATTGTGATCTCAGTGATGTGTGAAACAGAAGACGAGAACGAAGTATACGTGACGAAGGACGAAGCGGTGCTAAGTGTACATTACGAAGAATGAGAGAAACTGCGGTACTGAGCTAAGCGTGCTTGCAAAAAAGGTGAGGTTAAAAGTAAGTACGAAAGCTTCTTGAGCTGTAGTTCATTTACCGCGGGTACTGACGAGTACGATGGCCCAACGGGGCGAGGTTATAGTTTGCCAACGGAGCAAAGATGGAGGTCCAACGGGCCCATAGTAAAGCGCGATAAACTAGAGACTGTTTCTCCCTTTTCATTTTCAGCATAAACCACGGCGTATTGAACGAGAGAACTGAACAGCAAACAGAATAAGATTATTAATCTCGGTTATCGTTGGAAACTTATCAAAAGGAGTAAGTCTTTTATTTCTTATTCTTATAATTTCTTAGTATAAATTGATTGTTAAAACACGATTCAAATATTTGGATAGTTAATTTCAGAAGAACATTGATAAGGGACAACATGATGATCCTCCTTTTTCCAAATTCTTCGTTAATACAGATATGGCCTGTAAGTTTGGTTAGTGCATTTAAAAGTTATATATTAATACTTGCTAACACACAGAAAAATCTTTTTTTAGGAAGGAACAAACATAGAGGCACAAGCTCGTAAGCTGAGGAATGTTTAATTTTTAATTGACTTCATTCTGTAAACATTTTGTACGTAACAATTACATTGTTGAATAAAAGTTATAACATGTATTAAGGTTATTACTTTTTGTTACTGTTTACTGGGACATTTACTGATTTAATCAGCTTGCATTACTGATTTTGCTGTTCAAAGTCACTGTTTCCAGTAGTCCAATATTACTGAGTAAAACAGTCAATATTACTGATTTAATCAGTTCACATTACTGATTTTGCTGCTCAAAGTCACTGTTTTAGTAGTATAATATTACTGATTGAAATAGTCAATATTACTGATTTAATCAGCTCACATTACTGATTTTGCTGTTTTAAGTCACTGTTTCTAGTAGTCCAATATTACTGATTGAAACAGTCAATAAATAACTAATTCCTTCAGTGAAATGTCACTGATTCTTAGTGGTATACTTATAACTGCTTCAATCAGTGACTATTTACTGTTTCTCAGTAAAAATACACTGATTCTCTTTTAGAGAGTTGATTGCGCATAAAGTTGGGTCTAGTCAATCAAATTTAAATGAATTATATATAAAATAGGGGTAGAAGAAACCAACAAAGAGATTGGTTTTTGAGTTTTTTCTGCCAATATGTTCAGAGTGTTCTAAAATGTCGAAATATCGCATTAAAATCGCATGTCTGCATGTGTGTATGTGCAGATTTAATGTCCGTGATTGCTCTAACTTCCGCAAATATTGAGATATCGGGCTGTTTTTTTTAATCGAGAGTCTCGTTCAAGGAAGGTTAGTATTGAATTTGGCGATGATCGGTAAAAAAGTTCTTTTTTAAAAAAATTTTAAATTTTTTTAGAAATGTCCGTGGTTGCTCTAATTTCCGCAAATATTGAGATATCGATCTATTTTAAATTTTATTTGCCGTTTGCCGTACGCGTCGTAAACAGCAACAAATACATATATTTAGCACACGATTTCGACATCGTTCATACTCTGAGAACGTTTACGTTGGAAACTTAGAACTTTTACGATTCATTTTTTCTAAGTCAGGTGTCGAGATGCCAGGTACTAGAAAATGGCTATATTCTGGGTCGACGTTACACGTATATTACTTGTCAGTATTATGTCGACCTACGTGGCTGAAAATTATAAAATATATTTCATCGTAAAACGTTTAAATCGGTAAAACTTAAATAGTAAAAGTCACATTTTTATATCAAGTGGTCTGAGTACCAAGTCGTAAAAAACGGTTATATTTTTGAATACGTTTGCCGTATGCGTCTTAAACAGCTACAAATACATATATTTAGCACACGATTTCGACATCGTTCATATTTTGAAAACACTTAAGTTGGAAAACTAAAATTTCTACGAATCACTTTTTGTACATCAGGTGTCGAGATGCCAGGTACTAGAAAATGGCTATATTCTGGGTTGGTGTTGCACGTATATTACTTCGCAGCACTACGTCGACCTAAGTGGCCGAAAATTATAAAATATATTTCATCGTGGAACGTTTAAATCGGTAAAACTTAAATAGTAAGAGTCACAGTTCCATATCAAGTGGTCTGAGTACCAAGTCGTGGAAGACGGTTATATTTTTGAATACGTTTGCCGTACGCGTCTTAAACAGCAACAAATACATATATTTAACACACGATTTCGACATCGTTCATATTCTGAGAACGTTTACGTTGGAAACTTAGAACTTTTACGATTCATTTT